TAAAGCTGTTTAGAAAACTAAATATTATTCAACATGAAATAAAGTATGTATAGCATTTAGTATAGTGCATGGTATATAACAAGCATTTCAGTAAAGGTTAGCTATTACTATGCATCTGTTGATAATGTGAGGGCATTGCTGTCACTTACACTAGCAGTAATGATAATCTTTCCTTTTTCTCCACAAACTCATTCCTCTGGCAGATCTCCGTTTTAGTTAATTGCCTCATTTGTCTCCTCTGTGGCCTCTCTCTTTACTCCAGCCAGTATTGACTCACTTGCAAGTACAATTGATCTGACCTCTGTTGTGCCCTCACAGCAATCCCTTCCCTTCTATTCCTGTTGCTACTACCTCCGTTAAATAACAGGGTTTCCATTGAAGGCAGTTCTGGCTGTTGGTATTTGACCTGCCTGAGACTCAGTTTACTAATCTTGTAAAGTGGGAATAATAGTCCTGTCACGGGTTTTTCTTTTTTCTTTTTTTGGTATGGGGTTAACTGAAATAATATATTTGAAAGTAACTAGCAGAGTGCCTAGCTATTGCATGTGTTCAGTACATGTTAGTTTTCCTTCCTTTCCCCTTTCCTCATAATTCTTTTAAGCCACGCTTTTTTCTTTCCTTCCCCTCTCTAATCCATCCACAACATTACCACTGAATTAAACTTCTCACAGCACTGATCAATCACTAAATCAGTACCGAACTCACATGAACTGAGTGTTCACCGTGTGAATTCATCACAATTGAAATACTCATTATTTTTCTGATAAGGGTTGCCGAGTTAGGACAACAGGTAGGCCTTACGAGCTACAGTCTTGTAATGGAGGTTTTGGTCATCACCTGCTGAAACATCCTTCTATCTATCCACTGCTCATTGCCCCACTCAAGGGAAGGCCATTCTCTTAGCATGGTGCCTGAGCCCCTGCTCAGTGTGGTCCTAACCAGCCTCCCCTCCATGTTCCCTCTTGTGATGGCCAAACTGAATAGCTCCTCAGTCTCTGAACTCTCGGTCTTCCATGGCATTTCTTGCCCGTCCCCACTGCCTGGAATGCCTTCTCCCCTTCTCTCTTGGCAACTGCACCATCTCGGTGAGGCCCCACACAGCCCCACTGACGAATGTGCTTTCCTTCTCCTTGCCCTTGTTTGCACGCTTCTTACGGGATTTCCATGTTCTGGGTGAGTTTATGGCTATTTCTGTATGTCTTGGCCCTCCTAACTAGACTGTGGTCTGCCCCAGGAAAATGCATTTTCCTCCAAACTCAGCCTGCCATATGAGGGCCTTGCACATGCAGTTACTCCGTGATACATTTGTCACAAATACATAAAATTTTTGTTGAGTTTATTAAGCAGGATCCTACATCTGAAAGCAGCTGTTGTAAAATGAACAACTACTTATTAGCAACAGCACCAAAAACACCAACACATTTCGTGTAGGCTGCTGAACAGTCATGTCCCACGCCTTCTGTTCTTAGTAAAAGTCAAATGCAGACACTTCCTGTGATGCCTGCTATGAGTGATTCCTGATCTTTACTAAGAACAGGAGGATATGTAATTCTAAAAAAGACAGCAAAACAGCCAAGTAGATCATCTATTTCTGATTAAAAGTTTCTACGATAGCTCATTCTTGTAGACAGGCTTTATAACACTCTGTGTCTTCAAATGTCAATGGCTTCAGATTTCTGGGCTTTCGTGGGTGGTCTGCTGAGATGGTAACCTGTTATATTTCCTGGATTTTCGTTCAGGGTTGTTAGGCTGTGAGAATCCCTTCGTTAAGCCTCTTTGAATAAAAATCTTGGTTGAAAGTTTGGTTTGACAGAATGGGTTTTGCCTATAATTTTTTTTTTCCCCTCCAGACAGAATCTCACTCTGTTGCCCAGGCTGGAGTGCAGTGGCGCGATCTCGGCTCATTGAAACCTCTGCCTCCCCAGTTCAAGTGATTCTCCTGCCTCAGCCTCCCGATGAGCTGGGATTACAGGTGTGCGCCACCATGCCCGGTTAATTTTTATATTTTTAGTAGAGATGGGCTTTCACTACATTGGCCAGGCTGATCTCGAACACCTGACCTCAAGTGATCCACCTGCCTCAGCCTCCCAAAATGCTGGGATTACAGGTGTGAGCCACGGCACCTGGCCTTGCCTATAATATTTGAATAGCTTTGGAAGCAATGTGAGACAAGCTCATTGAGGGCATTAAAGAAACCATCGCATGTCATCAACGTATTCTTCCTGAGCACGTGCAGTGGGGCTGTGGCCCCGGGTCCTCTCTGAGTGATGAAAGTTTTGCTCCCTCTCTTCTCTTCCTGTTTTGCTCTTATCCATGGGGAACATAGATTATCTTCCTCCCCAAACACTAAAGCATAAGGTACAAGTGATGAGTCTTTCTCCTGTAACCCCTCAGTGGTTACCCCACTGATTGTAGGGTACAGGGATGGTCAGCAGATGATGAAAGTACTGTAGCGTAGGTCTGATATTATAATGACCTTAAGTCCCAGAGACCCTGTTTTAGACATTCTATTTCACTGTTAAACCTTAAGACCTGATTTTAGGTTTGGAAAATAATCCTCAAGACCACTCATAATTCATAAAGCCGCTGTTGGATGCAGGAAGAGAACAGTCCTCCTGAAACAGGTTGACTGCTAATCCACTTTAGGCCTGATACTGAGTGAGAGGGCCCAGAGACTGGGAAGAGTTGGAATATGCCCTTTGGGCTTTGCTAGTATAGAAACAGGGTGTCGCGGGGGGCCCCTTCCAAGTCACAGGAGAGAGGCAGCAGGCTGGAGGGGGCAGAGTGAGAAGCTGTTCCGTCCTGCAGCCCCTCTCCCCACCCGCCACACCGCTGTTGTCTGATTTGCACATTCCTGCTGTGCCTCGGCCTGGGGCACCTGTCCTCCTTTCTCAGCTCAGGAACCTGCTATTTCTCCTTTAAGATCCTGCGCAACAGTCGCTTCTTTTCTTACAGATTCCAAAGGCCCTGAGAAATTTTGTTTTTCCGGTGTGTTCCAAAGTGCTCTGATCTACGCATGCCATGCATTTATAACAAGGTAGCAAAGTTAGTTATGAACATTTTTGTCTCCCCAACTGGACTGTGAGTTCTTGGGCCCAGGGCCACGTTTTATGCTCTTTAATATCTGCCCCAGAGCTTAGCAAAGGGCACATCAGCTAGAAGTGCTCCCTATCATTTGAATGAACGAATGGAGTTCAGCCTTTTGAGCCTCAAGTATAGCTGTTGTAAGATCAGAAACCATCTGTTTGGAACTTGTTCATTAGATTATTTGGCTCTCAATGGTTTTAGTATGTCTTTACGTTCTCTTTTAGTATTTACAAAATTATCTTTAAAATTACCAGTCTGTTTTAACCACGTTGCAACAGCGCCTTCCCCAACAAAAGACGGCTCCTTGCTGCTTCCCCTGCCCCTCAACAAGGAAAGTTTCAGGGGCCAGCATGGAGGTGACAGCTGGGATTATGTTGAGTGAATCCCAAGTAGATGGCTTGCTTCATATCACAATCTTAGAGTTTATGGGAGTTTTTTTCTACTTAGAGTTGTTCCTTTACAGTCAATGTTATAGGCAAGCAGTGCCTATCACGTATCTGCCAGTATCCTCATGAGTATGTTTCTCTAGGAAGCTCTCCCGACATGTGACTGGGAGAGAGAACTCCCAGAAGTCCATTTATCATATGACTAGAGTAAGTGAAAGGCAATTCTTTTTAAAATGTGAGTGATGGAGCTTTGTAATGTGCCGTTTATCTATGTCGAGTGTGGAAAAGAAGGATGCCAGGGCAAGTTTATTACTTAAACAGTGTGTTCTCTGTTGTCTTTGGGGCTTAATTTTTCCACACCTTGTTCTGGAATATAGTAATACTCTAACACGATGAATTTCCATGAAAACACTGATTAAGCACCGGGAGTTGCTTACCCACGTGGAGCAGGCATTTGATCTTATTAGTTTTCTGTGTCTAATCAAACACAGTTTGGTTACATGTTTACTACCCCACATATGCAAGGAATACTTTCTTGGAAAAAAGCAAAAACAGCTCTGGAAATTGAAAACAACCTAGAATCTCAACTAGGCAGGTAAGCTTGAGAATTTCCCAAGGATAAAAGCAACAAATTCAGTCAACCATAGATTTGACATGCTAAACTAAGAAATGAAATGGAAGGATCCCTACATTTATTTTTCCTCCCATCAAAATAGTATTGACCCAAGACCACAAACCTTGGGCGAATGGAACAAAAGGGAACTATTTGCATTCACACTAAACGGATCACACGTGAAATATTTAGTTCCCACTTTTAAGAAGTCAATACAAACCACACAGAGAGAAAATTCTTTGTCTCCAGGCCTCCTTTTCAAAACAATTGCAGCAGGTACTGCACAACTGCAGACAATAATGTCCTAATGCATTAGAGCCTAAGTCCCCTAAAGGCATTCAAGTTAAAGAGGGCTCAAGCCTACAAATGTTTATTCAGTACCTGCTTCTCTGTCTCCACGACATCCTACTTGTATTCCCAGGGCCTCATCCTCATTAAATGTTTAGCAAGTAGGTGAATGTTGTATGTCCATGTGAAAGATACTGGCATTCCTAGGGTGCTTAGCAGAGTTGCAGTCACATAGTAGGTATCCAACAAGTGACTAAATATGAAGGAAAACAGATACTGCCTTCGAGAGGTCATGAGCTAAACTAGGGCCGGGAAAAGCACTTGGCCCTGTGCACTTCCTTGGCAATAGAAGTGAGTCAAGGCTTGAGGGAGGCACGAGGGACTTCAGAACCACTGAAGGAGTCTCTAGTTCCTACTTGTAATTGTTTTCCCCTTCAGTGCACCACACAACGCAACAGGGCTAGTCCCCTATCAGGGCCACCACTCTACCGGGCTGGGGAGGGAGGCCCTTGGCAGTCCTGCGGGAACAGGAGGCACTCCCACATCGCCCCACTTCTCTGTATTCCAGTTTAATTAATTTTTATATTTTGAATAAAATTACACCCACTCTCTTCCATTATGGTGAACACTTAAAATTACATTTATAGAAAATTACATTTACACAAACTTGTTTAAAAGCCAAATCCCAGACCTAGGCTATTGGCCAAAATCCATTTAAAGGGGATATTAAGTAAATTAGTTGAGCTGATTAAAAACACCTTCATCAAAGTAGAGCATTGCTGCCAACAATATTAAGAGTTGAACTATTGATTACATTTTTTTTTTCACAGCAGATAATACATTAGCAGGGAGGAAAAGTGATTACTGCTCACCTCCACTTTACAGGTGTAACTACTGATGGGGGTGACGCGGCAAGGTGGGAGGGCATAAAGAGAGGGCACGGGGCCTAGGTCAGGAGGGACGCAGAGGAGGAAGGGAGAGGAAGGGTGGAGGCTGGTGGCCGGAGCGGGCAGAGGTCAGACGCCTCGAAGGCGGGCGCCGTGCGGGCAAAGCTGAGGCCACCTCCACCGTAGCCCGTCGGGCCCGACACCCGCCGCTGCAGCGAGCCGGGCGGACGCTGGAAGCGCGCACAGGGTCGCTCCCGCTCCCGGCCGCCAGAGGGCGCGGCCGGCGATGGCGCGGCGGAGCTGAAGGAGGGAGGAGGGGAGCCGGCGGAGAAGGGTCAGCCGCGGCGGCAGGGCGGCGGCGGCAGCGGCAGCGGCGCAGCTCCGCTCCCCGCGCGTCTCCAGTCCCCGCGCCCAGGTAGGGCGCGCAGCCTCCGCCGCCGGGATGCGGCCGCCCGCCTGCTGGTGGCTGCTCGCGCCGCCGGCGCTGCTCGCGCTCCTCACTTGCTCCCTGGGTAAGTAGCCGGCGGCCAGGCGCTCAAAGGCGAGGCGTGGGGTACGCGGGCACAGTCGCCCGTGCCCTGGTCAGCGCGGGGAGGAAGGCGCCGGGCGGCCCAGCCCTGCCCCGCCGGCGCGCGTCCCGCCGTCCGGTCCCCGCCGTGCCGCGCCGTCAGCAGCGCCCTCTCGCGGCGCCCAGGTGGGACTCGGCCCCGGGACCCAAGGCGTGCCCGCTCGGCCCCTTTCGGTCCTGGGTCCCCGCCGCCGCCCCGACCCGCGACTGGCGTCTCCATGCCTCCTCCGCCCCGAGCAGGCGGGCGGCGGGGCGGCGAGGGCGCAGCGGCCGCCCCCACAGGAAGCGCGCAGGAACTGTGCCACCGAAGAAACTTTGAAAGAGCGCGAGCGGCGGCGGCGGTCCCGCCCCCTTGCCTTCCGCCCGCGCTCCGCCGTCCTGCGCGCCCCGCGCCGGGCGGGAGGCTGGACGGGAGCCGGCGAGGCGGCCCCCGAGGTCTCGCTTCTCCTGCTCGACCCCCAGGGGGGAGGACAGCGGTCCCGGTGTCCGCGCACCTCTGCGCAGGGCGTTCAGGACGTGCCCTGGCCCCTGAGGGTAAGCGGCCAGCTCCGCGCCAGCCGTTCCCTGATTCCGACCCGGAGGAGGACAGGGGCGCCCGCTGGGCCTCCGCGGGAGCGGGCGCGGCGGGGAGGACGCCGTGGGGAGGCTTGCTCCTGTCTCGGGTCTCCGCTGGGAACATCAGGGGACACGTCTGCGAGCAGTGCTTGCCCGGTCTCCTGCTGCTAGTAATGTCCATCCTTTTTCCATTCTCCTCGCAAGGGCATTTCCCTCCTTTATCGTAAAACGATGTGATAAAAGTTTAAAAACAAACAAACAAAAAAAAGAAACAGCCTTGTAATTGACTTTTATGATAAGATTTGTTCAAGTTTGAAATCTTGAGCGAAAAATTATTTTCTTTTCAGACTGTTGCAGAGTTGTCCTCTAACCCAGACTTGCTGGTGTTTCCAGCCTGTGAAAAGGCAGCAATTTCAGATTTTTTACAAATGGCAGAATGGTGCAGTTTAGGAAAAGACGTAGCGTTTTTGCGCACTGCTCTTGTTAGCCCACCGGAGCCTTTAAAGCCCGTTTTTATTTGTATTTAAGCTCTTCGAATAAGGATTAATTTGCTGCTTCTGTGTACTTCTGGCATTTCTATAGGCGCTCAATAAGTACGGGAAAAGAGCAAGATTAGTTGGTAATTAATTGTTTACATGCATGATTAATTAGCCAGCAGTGTAATTAAAAATATTAGGGCACTTGGGCAGAGAAGGCTGTAGTTGGTCTTGGGGGGCAACTGAATTTGGCTGGAATCGGCTTCAGTGGAAGAAAGGCATTGCTGGGTGGCAGCCCTGGGAGAAAGGGAGGGTGGAGGTTTGGGAAAGCGACTGGGTGACTCCTGGCTGCATCAGTTGGCTTGTTGCCTGGTTGTTTTGCAACTAACCAAATGGGTGGGTGGTAGCTGAAATTGGCATTCTATTTATAGCACTGCACTTTATAATGCTGTACTGGGGGTATAATATTTGTATATAATATATACAACATATGGGCTGAAATGCACATTTGTATTGCTGTGTATTTTTTACTACCCGTGGGGGAATATTTGCACTGTCCAAATTTGATAATACACTGAAGGACATTCAGAATGCACTAAAATGTCAACACATTTTTAGAGATGTCTGTTAGCCTTGTGAAGTTGTCAGATAAGCACAATAAATAAGACATAAAATGCATTAAAAGGTCCCTGTGAGACATTTGGGCTTTGTGAACTGGCTTTCATGGGTTGGCACAGACGGGAGGCTGTATTCTTCGAGGTCTGAAGTGACTCATGAATACCTTTTATGGAGCTCTGCTTCGATTTAGGGGAAGGGCACTGACACGTATAAAGATGTCCCCACTTATGATGTTCTTGGAATCTTGCTGAAACAGACAATGTGACAGCCATTTTGAGGCATGTGAACAATCTAGATAGTTTATAAATACCTTAAATATTCCCATATAAAATGGGCCTGACTATATAGTTTCCCCACAGACTAGAACATACTTGTTTATGTGTTTAGAGAAAAGTCAATATAGAAAATTTCTTTTAAACCCACATGCATATACAGACACGGTTCACTGCAACTTTGGTTCTAAAGTCTGGCACCAGTTTCAGAATGGGAAGATTGATTCAAGCCTCCAGGTTACCATTTGTTAGCTGTGTGGCTTTTAGTGGTTTTGAGCTTCAGTTTTCTCATATGAACAGGACGCATGGACTGGATAGAATGCTAGCATTTTGCCATCTCTTGCAGTTTTAACATACTGACCCCATTGTAGCAGAGACTGCCAGCTGCCTGCGCAATAACCCTTTGGCCCCTGTTTTCCTAACAAAACTAATATAATCCGGGTTGGGGGGAAGGGTGGAGGAATGATGGTGGGGTGGTGGTGGCAGCGGTGGCAGCAGCAATGTGAAACATTTCTCTCAGTGGCCTTTGCATATGGGGGCAGCTAGTCTCTACAGAGCTATCTTTAGAGATTGTTGGGTGGGGCTCCTGGTAAAGCTCATTCAAGGTGGCCGACTCAGCTGGGATGCATGCCTTTTTGTTCTGTGTTATCCTCCTTCCCATTGCCTTTTAAGCGGATCTGATGGATGGAGCCATGGTGGCCATGTTGTGACCATGAGGTGACCTTGAAGATGGAAGCCAGCATAAGGATGGTAGAGGAGAAAGGTAGAAGAAGCCTGGATGCCAGATGGATGTGGAGCATCATGCCAACTCTGCATGGCCTGTTTGCAGACTTGTGTTGCATGAGATTGTATGAAACCAAACCCAATCCTATTGCCAAACCTAATACTAATTATAGAAGAAGCTTATTTGAACCAATTATATTGATAAAATAATAGGTATTAGCTTTTATTTTTCACAACCCTGTCTCTTCTCTGTGTGAGCCAATTTTGTATTTCTTAGCACCTGCCAAAATTGGGAATGGTTTTTCATTCTGAGCCAGGTCTTGCCCAGATTCCTTTCATTGCAGTGAGTCAGAAATTTTAGGACACCAAGAGTCAGACCTAATTCCAGGTTGTTTTGTGTGTTTTGATTCTTAAAACCTCTTCGTTTCTTAAGCAGTATGCAGATATTACTGGCACAGATTTTAATCTTCTGGTCATCCAGGTAATCCAGGACCCCCGAATTGGCATGGCCCCCCTGGTCATGGACTTGACCCAGGGGAGTTTGCCAGTAGCCGACAGCTAAGCTAGTGGGAGGGAGGGAGAGCATCTGTTTCAAATAGCAGTGTGAATTGAAAGGAGATGTGGTAACTTCCTTGGGGACAAACATTGTGGGCTCGGTATTTGAGCACTTCCTTATAATTGGCTCTTGGAGCCAGGTTTTTTTGTGTGTTTTACTAGACTTGTTATGAAGCAAGCAAGCAAGCATAATTTTTAGGCATAAAGGTATTACTTAGAGAAAAGTTGCAAATGTTCTATGTTTTTCCTCTTGTAGCACTCCGTGTGGTCCATCTTTGGCTTTGCACAGATTACTTCTTAAGAACAATATTTGGGAGTCTCCATAGGTTAATCTCATCTTTCCCATGGTAAAGGAAAAGTTATGAGTTTCAAGGGGTCATCAGACCTATTGAGGAAGTTCTCCCTTGCTACCATGATTTCAAAGTTCTAGTCACTAAGCAACCCCCAAAGAAACCTGATTTAATGTAGGTGTTGACTTGAACTACTCGAAGAATGTCAATTTAAAAATCGTGTTAAAAGGAAAAACTGCCCAAAGCGTCTCATTTATTCAGAGTAATGTGGGTACCTACTGTGTGTCAGGCATCGTGATATTGCAGAAAAAAGACAGATCTAGTCTGTCTCTACCCTTGGGGAGCTTGCACCCCAAAAGGCAAGGTGATATTAAACAGTAACGACTGCAGAACGAATTGTGTCTGTGCTAAATGCTGTGGAAGAGATGTTCAGGATGCTGTGAGAACATGTTGCAGGGAGACAGATGGCTTTTGCCTAGACTGGGGAGATGGATCTCAACAGGGAGCCATCTTGCACCTCAGGGAACATTTGTTGCTGTCTGGATACTTTTTGGTTATCCCAGGGGCTGGTTTGGCAGACGGTGCTACTGACATCTAGAGTCAGGGATGCCGCTGAACATCCTACAGGGGCACAGGACAGTTCCACCCTACCGTCGAACAATTAATTATTGGATCCAAAATGCCAACAGTGCCAAGGTTGAGAAACTGTGGGGTAAGGGTCAAGGAAGGCTTCCTAGAAGATGTGACGTTAGAGCTCAGACCCGAAGGGGAAGCAGAGATCTTATGGTAAGTGGGGGGCAGAGCTTGGTGGTGAAAGAGCCCAGTGGAGAGAGGACAGAGGACTGAAAGGCTGGCAAGATCAGTAGGGGCCAGGTTAGGCAGGGCCTTGCAGATCAGGGGGACGTATTTTGGGGTCGTCCTCAGAGCAGGGGGAAGTGTTTGAAGGGCTGTAATGGGGCACTATGTGATATGGCTGCCTTTTCGTGATGGATGTGCCATGGAGCAGGAGTTGGAGGGGGCTGTCGTGGCTGTGGGGAACTGTGAGGAGGCTGCTGGAGACAGGTTGTGAGAGATGGTTAAGAATCTCTCAGACTCTGGGACTGATTGGGTTTCGTGTGCTGAGAGAAAGGGTGGGGGCAAGGATGAGTCATACATTTCCGTCACATCCACCATGGGTAGTAGTGCTGTTTACTAACTTGGGCACTGAAGGAGGAGGACCAGGTTTTCAGAAACAGTTTTATATAGTTCAATGTACATAACATAGGGTTTATTAAGTGTAATGAATTCTAAGTGTATAGTTCTGTGGCATTCAGTACTTACGCCATTTTTTGAAATGTACTTTGACTTTTAATTTTAGTGGGAGGTGAAGCTGCGTAAGTTCAGTTTTGGACAAACTGAGTTCAAAATGCATGTGAGATGGCCAGGTACCGTGTCAGGTGAGCAGTTAGATATTTG